TGGATAAAATTATTATTATTTACTTCGTTTTAGGTAAATCTTTATTTACTTTAAAGTTACTACTCCAAATTGATGATGTAGTCGAGTTTTAGAATTATTATAGAATTATGATTGAGATGATAGGAATTATTAAATTGGGAATTGACCCCATTAGAATGGATCGATTGTGAATTACCAAGTGTTAGTTTTTTGTGCAACACCGTTGAACTCGTATTTTTATTCCGTCTACCACCTGAATGGGAGATGGCGACTAAAAATCCGGAATCTGCATCTTGTATTATATCAGGAAATGAAGAGAAAATAAAACTTTTCTGCATTAGTGAAAGCCTCATCTTAATCTTGTGTTTTTCGTTCATCCTTCTGAACGAATAAAGATTACCTTTTGCATTTGTCTCCTTGAATGCGAGAGTGAAATGTATTAAGTGGTTTTTGAAGTGGGATTTTATAGAAATGCATTGCCAGACTTCTTGCCTGATTATCACCTGGAAGCGGTGAAAGCTCGATCATTATTGCGTTGGGTTGTACCTGGATTCAAAGGGCTTAAAAAGGAACTGATCGATCTGTACGAACGAGCGTCGGAACTTGAACCACCAGAGCTGCAGTACAAATACATAACTCTTTGTGCTAACTTTCCGTCTTACGGGTATGTACGCGCATGTCTGAGCTGTTACTGGCTATTGTCGATAAACGTTTTGTTTATATATGTAGTGCTGCATTTTTCCATGGGCGATACATAAAGTCCAGCCGATTCCGAGGTCGGCCGATGGACGTCTTGATTGGCATCAGTCAACGCGAAATTTGCCTTATAGACGATATAAAAGGGTGCAACGTCACGGCGCCAATTCCTTTGGCCAGCTGTGAGTGGTGGTATCAGAAAAGAACAGAAAGCGAGCCACTGGACTGCTTGATGCTAGATAACGGCCATGACGATTACGAATTCAGCGTTCCCACAGGCAGTGGCTGCCAGGTGCAGCTGTTTTCCAATGAGACTCCGATGATGGTGGCTTTGCTCCAGTCTTTTCGTCAAATCGCCGTTCCCCTACAGGTGTTGTAGTCACTGTTGGTTCTTGGAGTAGCCGAAACAGTTTTGGTAGTGTTGTTACGTTGAATTTGACCAATTCTGTAATTTATGTAGCATATTATGTTTTTTTTGTTTCGCGATTCGTTCCCGATCTACCATGAATTATTACGTGCCTTTATTCACATGTTGTTCTTGTTCTCACAGGCAACCTCACGTTTGAAAGACTTGCGGTTTTGCCTGCTTATCTGTATATTTCGTTTTACAAGCACTTATTAACCAGAAAAATTAGTTTCACGCTTCTCAAACAATTTTATTGGTAGTTCTGTTTGATTCTTTTGACTAGTAAATTTTTGACACATTTCGTTGTTTAGCGTTTTTAAATGAAATCTGTGCAATGAAGAGCAAAATTGCACCTGCTGCGCAGTCAAAATATCTCCTGAGTGTTTATGTCAAACTTTGCTTTTATTTGACTTTGGTTAATTTTAATATACAGTGTGCCAATATTCAGACAGTTAGTCAGATCTAGGAGCTTCTCTGGTAGCTCAGTAAATCAGTCGCTTCCGCTTTCGGGTTGTTGAGAAGTGCACGTCATATAGTGTTTCCGAAGTTCCCTATCGTGTGTTTGAGCTTTGGCAGAAGACGACTGGAGTCTACATTAGACTCCAATACACTTCCACCAGGTTAATCCTAGCCATCCCTTGGGTTTTCTACCGATACGTAGTAGCTGTTTCTTGAGGCATACGCAATACGTACCCAAAACATCGCATCTGTGACTTTTTAATCTTAAGATGCACTGGCTGTACACCAAGTCTCTTATGGATTTCTCTTCTTCGGATCATGTCGAGATGCGAAACGCTAACACATTCGTCTCAGAAAGCCAGTTTCATGTTATTTTACTAGGGAACGAAGTTTTTCTGTGCTAGTCCACGACTTCTGACCGTAGGTAAGCATGGGGATAAAGATCGACTTGAATGCTGAGAGCGTAGTTTTCAGACTGAGCTCTGCTTTAGTTACAACGGTTCAGACTAGTTCACCTAGAACTCCAT